GGGGGGGGGGGCGCCCCCCCTGGGCAGCATTGCAGCGGATAATCCTTGCATAGCCAGAGTTTGTTTGATGCCTTGATGTTAGTCAAGGTAATAACAGAGATGGTCGCAGGATGTCTCTTTGCCCTTGGCCTGTCTGGGACAGCTATCATTACAGACCCAGTGCCTCTCCAGATAAGAGCACCCGGGCTGTCGCCGCAGCAACCTGCTGTGATAGCTCATGCTTAAAGGATAATACTTTTTACACATTAATCAGATGGCGCTTTGACCACAGAGTATTGCACGGCCCAGATGAAATTGAAATGCGTGGTTTGGTTCCCTGATAATCTCCACACAGACATCAGTAATATGTCGCCACTGATCGTGCTGAAGTGAAAACCGAGTCATGGGAACGACTGTGGCAAGTTTGAATATTTATATTCAAAATGCAGATATTCTGAGAGCCTCACTTATTTCTTTCTCTACTTCAATCTTGCTAGTTCTTGAGACCATCTGGACTGTTGGCAAATGTAAACTCTCTGTTATTATGAGAGATGAGAAGCTGTTTCACTTTTAAATTCTGGAGAAATGCAAACACGTTGTAGCAGAAACGTCCCTGGTACACATTTTTCAGGATGTAGTTTTCGGTAATTTTTTACAATGATGAGCTGTCCTAGCAACTCCAACCATAAAGCATGACGACCAACTTTTCACCAGCTAGTTGTTCCCCTACAAAGCAAAGGATAAATGCAATCTAACCTTATGTTACACCCTAAGAAAGCACTACAAATAATCAATTCTTTGACCTCTAAGTCTTTGATTTCTGCCATTTTCAATTTAGCAGTTTAAAGTGAAGTTTATTTCGTGTGGGTTTTTCCTCTCTCCTTCCCTCGTGAGCGAGAAATTGCCTTTTCAGGTTGTGAAAGCAGCCACTCATTCGTGTTAATTTCTGTGTTGCTTTCCATCAATCGTCCACCCCCTCTCTCAGGGTTTTTATGTTTATCCCCATCTGTAAGACTGCCTCTATCCTCCTCCATTCTTCCTTTGTGTTTACGTCCATGAATTTTGAGGAAAACATGTTGAGGAGCTCCCCTTGGTGATGGCAGCAATTTAACTTTCATATATTCCTATCCTCCAGACACTGCTTAGTGCTGCTGTAGTGAGTGAGTGAGTGAGTGTGTGTGTGTGATTGTTTGAGTGCATTTTTTTTACAGTATGCTAAAGAGTATTGAAACTAAGCTTTTATTTTGAGCTACAATTTAGGAGAGAGTCTGACATTGACAGCGTGGAGGTGAACACTCATCTGAAAATATAAAAACAACATTATGTTTTTCAGGATGTCACGTGATTATTCAAAGGCTTTCAGTAGAGAAGGTGGCGTGCGTTGTAAGGTCGGTGGCGTGATTCATACCTCTTGACTGACAGCTTGTCAAACACTGAGCAGTAATTGAAAAGTGGATAATGATCGTTGTTTTGTGTGAAATTCAAACCAAGGGTTGGAAAAGCTGGTCTTGTAGGGTCAGCGGCTTCTTTAGTTTTGTAAGCTTGAGTAATTAAATCAGAGAAGGGAGTGAAGTATTCCTCAGCTCAGTGCCTCGTCTTGTTTCCTCTTTAATCAGGTGGCTATTAAACCTCTGATTGCACTCCCTAACTTTTGACTTCAGCTTGGCTGTTAAACACCGACTGAAAGCATGGTGTGTGTGTGTGTGTGTGTGTGTGTGTGTGTGTGTGTGTGTGTGTGTGTGTGTGTGTGTGTGTGTGTGTGTGTGTGTGTGTGTGTGTGTGTGTGTGTGTGTGTCAAAGAAAAGCAGTCTTTGGATCAAAAAGTGAAAAACAAAGGGAAGGGTAAATGCAACACACACGGTCGTAGTTATTCCTCTTCTTGTTGACTCAATGATTAATACTTCTCTCCACAGCCATAAATCATTTTCCCCAGGGTACCACTGACCTGTGAGATATATCTGTGACCTCACGTATTACTCAAAACACACACATTGATGCATTAAGCCGCACATGCACCACCAATCCTCTTAACACAAAAACACGTTCATTGATATTTGAAGAAATAGTTGGTGTTTCATTGCTATAAAACAGTTCTGAAATGAGTTCTGCCTCGCCATGCTGCTAGTGACATATGACCTCCTCCAAGGTCATCCCAGATTCCCCCTCCTGCACCTCTCAGAGATCACCCAGATTAGAGCGATGTCGGCCACCGCCGGCCGGGCTGCCTGCATATATCTGTTCCTGTGTTCTCGGCTTACTGCTGCTGGCACGGACAAGGTTGTTCAGCAAGGAGAGTTGACCTTTGGGTTGAAACCGAGAAAAAACCTGGTGTTGTGCGCTATATTTAGGGCTCATTGTTTGAGTTTTTTAAATAACAAATCAGGCAATTTATCTGTGTTTTTTATATTGAAAAACAAAAAGATCAACAATAAAAAACTCTGAGGGTTTAAATCGGATTATAAAAAACTATTTTTAGAGTTTAAGCATTTATTACTTATTTTAAACTCAACTTCGCTTTGAGGGACTATATCAGACGGCACGTTTACATTTTCTCTTCTTTTTTTTATTATTTATAACCAGAAGCTTATTCAAAATGGTGCAAAAGGACTTTGTTTTTTTCTCAAAACTCCCTTTTAGTGTCCTCTTGCATTTTGAATCACAGCATTCTGCTTGAAAGTCTTTTTAAACTTTATAGTTTTCTTTTGAAAATTAAAAAGGAAAAATGCTAAACTGATCAAACAATACAAAATAAGCATTAGCTGTATTCGCCATATCACTTTTGTGAGTCTAATTGGTTTGTTGCCCCTACAGCTCCGACCATCCTCAACGAGTTGAACTGGACCCAGGCGCTGGAGAAGGTCTTCATTGAGAACCGTCGGGACGACAGCTCTCTGCGCTGGCAGGTGTTCGGCAGCGCCACAGGAGTGACTCGATATTACCCAGGTAGGCCGCAGGGAACAGAGTCAACAGTCTGCCTTATAACTCACGGCAAGATAAAGTCTAAATTGACCCTAGGGGCTCCTCCGCTGCAGAACATTGGCAATCTCTTATCAGATGGCTTTACTGGTGACTCGATACACAGGACTAAATTATGATTACTTTGATATAATCTGATAAGAAATATCCTACAGTACACTGAACGGCTTGTAACTTATTTTCTTGCTCTCTCCAGCCACTCCATGGAGAGCGCCCAAAAAGATTGACCTGTACGACGTCCGCAGAAGACCTTGGTGAGTGCCATCTTTATTAAGATCTGGATCAGAATCAGAGGGATTTTATTTATTTTCTGCCATTGTTAATGCCCATTGGCCATATTAGGGAGCATTTGGCGTATTTCAAATAACCTACCTCTCATTTTGGTCTCAATTGTCTTAGTGAAGGTGAGTGTTGAAAGGCTTGAGTTTTGGATACCAGTTGAGTTCTCCTGAGCGTTAGGATTGGATGAGGTTGTCTCGCTTGGAGCAGACAGCTAACTAAAACAAACAGGAGCAGAGTAAAGGTGCAGAAATGTAACTTGTCACTGGAACACCTGGGCTGACAGCAGAAACACTGTCACACTGTTTACAAATGGTGACTAACTGTTGTTTCCTGACCTGAGTCCTTACACAATGTCTGTGTCATTGCCATTGCTTTTTCCTGTTATATTGAAAATCATTTGTTATCACTTTATCATCTTAATCTTTTTAAATCTTTGCTCCATGCTTCAGTGAAAAGCAGTAAACTACTTACATTCAACTGTTATAACATGCATTTATTTGTGTATCAATACAATGCCTTTATAGGAAGAACGTTTTAAATATATATCTTTTTTTTCTTTTACTAAAAGTGCTATAACTTTACATTTCTGTGCTTTTTAAATGTTACCACATAATCCAAAACAATAACTCGTAAATGTAGTCTTTCATTTGGATTCCTGTACAGTGCTTCGTCTCTTGTAGACCTCCCTTGCTCGAACTGGCCCGGAGCTAAATAAAGAATATTGTTTAGTGAAACGGGATTAAAATGGTTTCTCGCCCGTATTTATCTCAGTAAGTGATAATGTTGGTGCATTTTCTCTTGATACGAGGACATAGCAAGATATGGCCTAATGTTATTGTTTACAATTCCCATCATTGCCTGTGGGTCTCTGTACAGTAAGTAAAACAGGCTGGACAGAACTAGGCTGTATTCGGCCAATCAGCCCCTCTACCCCCATGCCATCTTCTTGTCCACCCTTCCTCGTTCAATCTACCTGCCACTGTCACATCGGCTTTGTGGCAGTTCTGCCTGTTGCCTGGTTACAGGTTGGAGTGGACTGGACATAAGCATGACAGCCATGTTGATTAGACCTGACCCCGTTCCATCTCTGTCTGGATCCATCTCGCTTTTTGAGGTCAGCCCAGGCTGTCACATGAAGTCAATGAGCTCATACCAAACAAACAAAAGACGAGCAGAGAAAGAAGCTTCATGCATTGTGATGAAGTTTGATTGAAACTCAAATCCAAAATGCACATCTTGTAATGTTGTAACCACGTCTGAAAGAGAATAATTGAATTCATTTTCAGGAGTAAATTAATACTTCTGATGCTTATTTGCTTTTAATGTTTCAGTCAAGGTTACATTTATTCATCCAGAAAAACATGGAAATTATAGTGCTCCAATTCTAAACAAACAGCACTGGTTATAAAAGCATTATAAATAAATACCCTTTAAATATATGATTGAATGGATAAAAAAATAAATAAAGATATATTCCATAACAAAAATGTTTAAAGGAATCAAACAAACAAAAACAACGTCAGAACAAACAAACATTTAAATGGATTTAGTTTACAGCCTCCTTCATAAAGTTGTGGTTGTACTGTTTTATCCTTTGTTTGAGTCAGTAAAATGAAAAGTGATCGCCTATTACCTCCCTGTATCCAGGTGTTCCCTGACAGTTTAATGAAGCTAACAACAGAAGTCTCCCCAGTGCTTCACTGTCACAGAAGCCAACAGCGTAAACATGAGAAATTCTGGAAAACACAAGGCAGTGTGTAGCAGGATGAGTTAAAACATGGATTCTGTCTCTGATCTGTCAGCGATACAACCATAATACACCAGAGTTTAATTCTCTTACACATGTTTTGACTGGGGGACTCCTCCCGGAGACAGAAAGGACCAAGGAAGCAGAAAGATGAGGGCGGCTGCTGAGCGACAGTGTGACAAGGTTGGACAGAGGAAGAGGCGTATGTGTTCACGAACACCTTGTCTCCCCCCTGGTCTTCCATGTTTGTCACTCCTGTCGAGCTTCTTTTTTTTAGATGTAAGAGCCTTTGAAATGTCTTTGGCCGTTGCTTAGCAACTTGTGCTGAGTTGCGGGGCCGCGGTGGCAGGGAGTGTCATGATATGTCAGGTCAGCCGTGTGTGATTATAGTCTAACTGCTGTCTCCTCGACTGACACTCTGCAGAGCGGACGGCCAATCACACGCCTTACAAAAACAGTCAACAGGGGTTAGCTACGCCCGTCATGTGTGCTTGCATGAGATAGCAGCCTCCGTCACGAGGACAGAAACAAAAATGTGAGCAACAGATTCAAAGATGAACACCACTCATGCACAACACTTATAATAAAATCAAACTGATATTTAAATTCTACTCATTTTTTGTGGGACGTAATAGGAACTTTAATTATACACTTCAGCTGCTGTGTGTGTTTTTTGCTTGTTTAAAAAAGAAAAGGAAAAAGGTGTTTCCAAGGGCAACAGTTGGGCGACGTCTGAGAGCCGGCATTGCTGAGAGACGCACTGTCTACTTGCCGGGTGCCTGACTGAAGCGTGCATATTGATAATCGATACAAGACACTAGACCACAAGTTACAATTACAGCATAATGCTTAATCCTCTATAATGAGTGTTCTGCATAATGTCAGACACACAGCATGTTATCTGACCCTGACCACCATAAGATAAAAATCATTTAAGATGTTGGATCAGTTTTTTTCGCTTATAATTGATATTAATGTATATATTTTATATTTAGAACAATACAATCACTGATTCCATCCAGTATAATTCACAATGCTGAGTTCATAATAAAATATACAATTTAAAACACCATTGACTTCTGCCACTGCGGAAATAAGATACATTTAAGTGTCGAGTACGATTTTGTCCAAATAAGTCAAAACAATTGCTAAGGACAAACATATAGGTTTGAACAACATACAAGCCAAAACCATTTTAAATTAATGTACAGTCAATAATGTCCAAGCACATACAGATCTCACATATTACCCCCCACACACCCCTCAGCAATCCCCCATCACAAACTCCCTGATACATCAGATCACATGAGCAGATATGCCTGATAGATACTGGAGTATAGCCACTGGAGTATACACAGATGCAATCGCAGGAACATGTTTCTGTGACGTTTGCGCTGACTCTGTCTCCAGTGAGAGTCTCTCCCCCCCAGTCAAAGGTGTGGTTTACAAAGTGAGAGTGAAAGCAGGGGCCAGGGTTCACGGCCAGTTTGTAGCGTAATAGACCTGTAGCTTTCCTGGGACGGATGGATGGCGGTGAGGCTGACCTGGCCGAAGCTGTGGAGGTGAGCCTCTGAGGGCAAAGATTGGAGGGCAGCCTGACTCCACAGATGGGCCCTGTTCCCGTCTGCTCCCCCACCAACATCCACAGGAAAATTAATGGTCCAGTCAACACACTTAATTGTATCCAATTGCTCTGACATTAATTATTAACATTTGTCCATTATAATGTCTGTTCGTGTTATCAAGGGAAGCGAAGCAGAGGGGGAAGTGAGGCAGGGGGAGAAGCAAAGGGGCGAGGAGAGAAATAACCAGAGACAGGCGTGGAGACCTGTCAGCCAAGCGTTGCAAAGATCCCATTACCTCCCAGTTCACAACAGCATGTATGCTATATCACATATTGATTTCTTCAAAAAGTCAATCCAACCTCTTTGTAAATATTAACACTGCTGTTTTATCCTGGAAGCTGAGGCTCCCCAAAATACAATTTCCAGTGTCTTCTTCTTTAAATCTCTTTACACTGCTTCAGGTGGAAGCAGAAGCAAAAGAAAGACCAGTGTTTTCTTAGTTATTGGATTAAAGGTGACACCAGGCTTTAGCATCCAAATAAAAATATTTGACATTTTGGTTTGAACCTAAGGTGATAGACACAGCTGGGGACTACTTATTCCATCTCAAAGAGCAACAATAACAGACTTGTACTTGTCAAATAATAATTGATGCTGATGTATTCGAATATGCATGACTGATTTAATATTCTGTGCTTTTTGCCGAAAGGAATAGTGTTCGTTAAATTGATTCTAAAATGTTATGTGTTCGTCTTGGGCATAACCGGAAATATGGAAATATGAACCTTGGTACCAACACTTCCAATAATCAACAGAAAGTGGAATAAATAAATGGCAGACAACATCTCTTTCTCCTGCAGGCTCTCTGGGCGCTGTCCTCCTATATTTTTCTAATCTTAATTCAATCTTTATTCGCCTGCCACATCCACAGGAGCACTAAGAGAGCAGCAGTCCATAAAATAATAAGCCCATCAGCACAGCACAAATCCACACACACATGTGAGCACACACACACCTACACACACCTACACACACACACACACACACACACACACACACACACACACACACACACACACACACACACACACACACACACACACACACTCGCTGTCTCTCTGTTACATACAGTTCTCACATTATTCTGCTGTTACTTTGCTTACTTTAACTGTACATGATGGATGCATATCAGAGCACAAACTGTAAAGGAAATGTACATGTTCAAGTGAACTAACACATCCACCTATTATTTATACAATGGACAAGTGTAAAACACACTCAACTGTTAACACAAAGTTAGCATTTGCTGCACACACTAACTGTGGCACAGAGACACCACATGCTACATGTATCTATGGCATGTTTCTGAAATGTATGTGGCAGATAATTCCTTCAATTTAAATGTAATGCACAACACTTTGTTGAATGGGTCAGGGCGCACAAACACAATCTCCTGAGAGAGTTAGCCCCCCGGCAGAGTTAATGTATTGATTTTTCAGCGCTGTTCCATGATAAAACTATTTCATGAATTCCAATGAGATTCCTTCACCAGACTGCTGCAAAATGAAAAAAAAAATACAATCATCCCAACGCAGAATATGTCATTGTGTTCGTTGCTTGTATAATGCATTTCTTTTAGAGTGATGGCAGGTGGTGGCGTGTTGTAAAGGTGGCATGGCTCTCAATGTTGCTGCTTTAATCTCTTCTCATTTGGAGCGATACCTCGTTCCACCTCGGTGTAAAGAGCAGATGTCTACATGCACACACGTGTAGGACTTTACATATTGTGATAATATGTGCACGTTTTTATCGTGACATATATATTGTACATTATGGCTCTCTGGTATTCTCTTACTGTATGGGCCTACAAGTCACTAATGCTGTGTAGCCAGATCTTCAATGTATCGGTTTAATAATATACCATAAATAAAAAATGGCATTGGCTACTTAATCTCAGGCATTCACAAAATCTGCTGTTACGGTGCATCGTATATATATATATACATATATATACTTGCTCAAGGATCATTTCCCTTATCAATGAATCTTTTAATTCAGTTTTTGAACAATCAGTTGGTCTATGAGATTTCATAAATTATCCCCACAAGCTTTTTGAGGTGATGATTACATTTAGTTTGTGTTGTCTGCTTAACTGTCCAAATCGAAAAAATCAGTAATTCTTCACATTTGAGAAGCATTTTTGCTTGAAAACTGACTTTAATTATAAGTGCTTCGATGAGTAACATAATGATCGGCTGTAAAAGATGTTAGGCATCATCTGTGAACGGTTGATGTAAATGTATATTTTACAGAAAAACAAACAGCACGGTTTTGCATTATACACTTAATTACAAATGAGTATTCATTAAAAAAAAAAGGTGTGATAACTATAGCTGGACCGTGTCTGAAACTGGTTATTATCCACCTGGCAGATAAACTTTCATGGTCACAAAGTAGCCACCACTGTTCTTGTGAAGTAAGGTTTCACTTGAATATTACTATACATTTTTGAAAGGTATAAACCAATTTAATGAAATCACGTAGAATTTCCCATTAGTTTATGCTCTGTAAAGAGCTGCCCTCAAAGAAAAGCACCAACAGGACTGACACATTGTCATATGTTAATGAAATGTCTGAAATAAAGTGCTCTCACTAGCTATGATTCAGCCTCAGTGGTTCGATACCATCCACAAGAGAGAGAGCAGACAGAGAGACCACAGGCTGATATGTTGTGTTTGCTGGCTGATGGTTGTGTCGCGGTGCAAGAGAATGGGCGACGGGGCTCAGTTCAGCACCAGCCAGGCCCATCTGCTTGTCACCTGGCCTTGGCACGCAGGAGTCTGGGTAATGACAGGGAAAGAATGGCATCAGTGGGCAGAAGCTGAGAGGTAATTACTGACTGGAATCCATGCAGAAACAACACATCTGGATCCATGAGTCAAAATGTGGAAGATTATACACTGATACTTGCCTCAATTCCAGATTTGTATCCGTCAGAACCGCATATCAGCCTGGAGACCGAAAATCCTTGACTCCATCCCACACTCTCTGATCCTGATGTTCTCTGCTGAGAGGCACAGAGAAAATTCATTTGTAATTTAGGCAGTGGAAAGGGAGAGAAAGGGAGCAGCGCTGATACCCCAAGACAATCTGTGGGGAGAATCAGCCATGGCAGCACTATACTTTCAGTGTTGAGTGACGTTATCCTAGCTCATGTGTTACTCCCCTCTACTCCATCACTGCTCACATATTCCTCCTAAACCCCATTACTGATGATCAATGCTGCTTCTTTCACAGTTTGAGAGAAATGATCTACTTGAAAGTGATATTTTCTCAGCAGATTTTAGGGCAAACGCTAGCACAGTTCTCAATTGGGAGAGTTTACATTGGAGCTGTGGAAGATGACCTATAATGACGACTAGTAATAGAAGACTGCATTGCCTTATAATTAACATTTGGCCCCCTCAAAGTCCCATTTAAGGACTATTCTCCTCTATGAGAAACTGACCAGAGAAGTTAATGAAATCCTGCAGGTTGTTTGCAGGCACCAAGCGTCACCAAATGACCCTCCTTCAATCTCCAGCAGGGGTGTCTCCCTCCTTGAGCCTGGGGGAGTGGAGACGTGGGCCACATGTTGACCGAGTTCCCGTCCTGCATCGATGACCGCTTTTACAGACCCCATCCACTCGAAAGAAAGAAGCCGCCACTGTGTGGAGTCTCAGCCCCCNCCCCCCCACCACTCTCTCTCTCTCTTTCTCTCTCTCTCTCTCTCTCTCTCTCTCTCTCGCTCTCTCTCTCTCTCTCTCTCACTTCGCACTTTGGACATGCTCAGTTAATCGACCTCTTGCAATGCAGTGCCGGTGCCGAATCCCTGTTCTATCTGGGGGGTTTTCAGGCAGCTTTTCAGCAGAGTGGGGCCCAGGTTGTGTCTGAAAAATGGATTTGGCCAGCCCAGGCAGTGTGCTGAGGGACGTTATTTCAACACGGGTCAGGGGTTGTGCTGCAGGTTGGAGTGGCTCCTGCCAGTGAGTGGGAGCGGTGAGACTTGTGGGAGCGGTGGTGAAGCCCACCGGAGCTCTGTGGCTCTACCTCCGTATCAGCTTGGCCGGGCATAAGAAAAGAGCCTCTCTGGCCCACAGGCAGCTGGCTTCTCTCCACACTCAGCGGAACGGCTGATAATCAGCAGAAAGAGACCTCTGATGATTACTCTGCCTCTGCCGATGACGGCTGCTAACTGCTTGCCTGCTCACTCCTCAGAATGTCAAACTAGTACTCACATTTGAAAACCCCCTCCCCCTTCCCTATAGAAAAAGCCTACAATGTCCATCAATCTCAGCTCTCTTTGTATCAGGCCTAAATGTGAGTTTAATTGCCACTGGAACAGAATGAAGGAATTTTTGATTTCCACTGTATGTCATCCTCTATCAACTGTGGACAGATGCTATGTGCGCGCCTTTTCCAGGACACAAGATGTCTGGCTTTGCTAGTCTCTGCCTTGTGGGCCTCCGCTGTGCCGGGCATGACAAACGGAACAGCCCTATTTTAGTAGTTGCTTTGCTGCAGTAGCATAATGGTCTTAAACAGCTTGTCTCTCTTCCCAACAAAGGATCTGCCAGGGTAAATAATGTGTTTGACGCCCAACTGATGAGTCATCAAAGGAGCTGAGCGTCAGCTATTTTATTTTACTGACGGTACTTAGCTCAGCACAGACTCTCCACAGCACAGGTCAACACAACTCAGGCATCTCCTTTAGAAGTTTATACACATTTCAAGTGACTATGTATAAGGTCTGCATAGGGTGACTGCAATACAATTTAAAAGTAATTTATGTTCATTTTAAGTCATACATGTTTTTTATTTCTCTTTAACTTTATATATATAAAAGTTGGTACTTCTGTTTCTTGAAATAAAATGTCAGTATCCTAAACGCTTAAGTAGGGCAGTGCAAGTAAGATTATTTCACTACAAGAAAGCAAGGTTTGGTTTGGAAATAACTATTTGAGATAGTATGTCAACCTGTTGGTAGGTTCTTAAAGAAAAATCTAATTTTATTAAATTGTATTAAATAGCATAATGGTAATATCTGAATGGTACAAACCTCTTAAACACATAACGCGTAAATGTCATCCCTTCTAAAAAAGATATTTGGGTTATTGGTACTGATAAACAATTGCATGAATCTTCTGTTTATAGACAACATCTAAGATGTAACACCTTTTAGACTTAGAACTTGGCTCTACAGTGATGGCTTGTGTGCTTAGGAGGCTACACAGCTCAGTGCAGGCCACTTTTTGTTAATTAGTTATTATATACTGAGACCATAAACTAGCAATTACTTTGGCTTATGCAGTAATTATTTAGAGTGGGCATTGTTATTCAGTTAAGAGGAGTATCTCTGTTGAAGTCATTCGACAGTAGCTGTGGCCAACACTGAAGTATATAGCACAACTTATTAACTCTTCTAAGCACATAAGCCTTTGCCGTATTCTGTAGCTTAAGTGGGCTCAGCCATGGTCGCTTCATATTATCATGGCTCAGCTCATTGTGATTTTGGCTCCTTTCTTTACTGCAATTCTCAAAGATTATGGAACTAAATTAAAGTCTGTTCTTTGTGTCTTTTGTACAGGTATATTCAGGGTGCATCTTCTCCAAAGGACATGGTCATCATTGTGGATGTGTGAGTATCCTCAGTCTCTCTCACTGCCTCATCCTTCAACATTTCCCCCTGGCAGGAGTGGATGTCTCCTTCAAAGGGCGCTAGTGCCACCTGTTGGTCTGAGAACAGCCTCAAGTTAGAGCACATCTGATCATTTATTCACAATCATTGAAGTCCACTTACTGTCTTAACACCATCTAAAACATTCAGACGTAATTATGAAATGTTTTCCTAAAATTAAAATGATTTAGTGAGAACGAAACTAGTCTTTTACAAGTTAGGAAAATGTGTCGTATCTAGTATCACTGCACTGCTAAGTGCTTCATTGCATTTTCTCTTCAGGAGTGGCAGTGTTAGCGGACTCACTCTGAAGCTGATGAAAAACTCCGTAATTGAGATGCTGGAAACTCTATCAGACGACGACTATGTGAATGTGGCTAAGGTAAGTAGTAGCTTTCATCATGATTTGTGATCAATGCTAAAAATCACTCCTGAAAGCACCAATCACAAATATTGTTCATATTCATTAATAAATTAGAATCAAGCAGTAAACACCACAGTGTGCTCTTACTGCCCCCAGTTATTTGCTGGCAGTGGAAATACTGCACTTCCCTCATTATAGTGTATTCACTACCATCGTATTACCACCGTTGTCCGTGAGGGATTGTGCCGACTCTTTCTTTCCCTGTCTGCTGATTGCTAAGTTTTCTATTAGGACTTATGTTTAGGGCAACATTAACGTTATCCTATATTGCAGGACAGATAACACACACACACACACACATCCACATGCTCTGGGTGGTGGCTCTGTTTGGAGACTTCCTTCGGTAATCCTTCCTAATCCATTGCTCTTAGCCACTGTATGCCTCTAAATCCTAGCTCTAAGAGCAATAAATGAGCATGGTAATCTGGGTGGGAATGCATCTGATTTTCACCCCACTAAAGAAGTGAAGGCTTACAAAATCTTGCTGTGAATTATTTGCAACACAAAGACATAAACAACCAAAAATTAACTGAAAATAATCAACAATCACCGCCTCTGGTATCTAAGTGTTTCAGCCCTTTACTCATGACAAACCGTGGCCTCAATGTTGTTATGACGATATAATTAGTTATGATAATAGAGATTTATTTCGAAGGATTTTTTTTTTAATTTCTTTAGGCATCATCGATGAAGCCAGTTTCTTCTACATCTTGTTACATAGCTACTGTTATTCCAAGCATTTTAAGACACAGGAATGTGATATTTAGAAGTGACATTGATGAATATTGAATATCTGAATACTTTTGTGTTTTTGATTTCGATGGCTGACAATTTAAATATGACACAACACCAACCCATGAGAAATGTCATCTTTTCTCGCAAACATAATGTTTTACATCAATCTGTCATGAAAATGTCAGTAGATGTTGTAGTTGACCTTCAAAAGGAAACAGCATTTGAAACCTGCTATTACAGACACACTGTAGCTGCTGATATTGTCTTCTCATATAAACACTGCACACAAGCAGAAAAATAAACCCCCCATGCACATCCATACTCCTCACACAAACCTGCACACACAGTTTTAGGATAATTTGGTGGATGAGATGAGACAGATGATATTACCTTGGCCGGGTTTCTGCTCGGTGGCTTGTATGGCGTTTCAGGTGCACCTGTTCTTTGTGTGGAAAGTTGTAATTACCAGGGTTTACTGCCAGCCAGAGAGTCGCAGGACAGCTTACATCTGCACACACCCCCGTATGCATCCTGCCGTCATGGCCTATGCACACATACACAGAAACACACAGATATACAGAGTCTTACAACATTTGGACAGATTTCTTTTGGTGGTATTTTTAATATACACATACAATATGTTCATGTCTGTGTTTGCATTTCCCCTTTCTAGTTCAATGAGAAGGCTGCAGCAGTCGTTCCATGCTTCAAGACTTTGGTCCAAGCCAATAATCGGAACAAAGAAATCTTCAAGAAGGCTGTCTGTGATATGAGCGCCAAAGGAACCACAGATTACAAGTCTGGCTTCACATTTGCCTTTGAACAGCTTCTCAATGTAAGAGCCAACAAGCCTTTTAGAGAAGGGCAATGCAAGGGTGAATGTTTGTCTGTGTGCCTCTAGAAAAGCCTTCAATAAGGCTGGAACTCTGTACTGAAGCTCCAGCATGTTATTACACATCCTGTCAAATCCGGTTGATTCTATCTGAATTAGCAGTGATAAACGCTGGTGACAGTGAGTGGTCCAGGTTTGTATAAGACATTTCCAGAGTTCTGTCATTGTCGAAGCTAGGTCTGGTAATAACTGCTGTTGCGTTGGAGCGGCGCTAACGCTGCAGCAGCCAGCGCCGCGCTGAGGTCTGTCAGCAGCGGGCGTCCACGTGCTCTCACACAGGTGCTGCCTCAGCACCGTATGCTGCTGTGTATTTTAAGAGGCTGCCACCCTAATGGGCTCTGATGGGATGATTGATGAGCGCAGCCCAGAGGAGATCAGCCACAGACACTTTATATTCCTCTGGTGGGCTTGGAGGCATAGAGCCAAGTGCCAGCTGCCCCCCTCCAACCCCCTCTCCGCACCTTCACTTGCCAGCAGAATGAGAAATAAAAAGGCCTGTTTAATCGCTGTCTGTGGCGGACTCACTCCCATGATTGGTGGCAGAAACACAATAAAAATATGTAATTGTAGCAATATTATTTATCTTTATAAGAATCTTGTCAGAGTGACATGCCTCTGGCCTGCATATCAATGGCAGCTGCTGTGCAGGCAGGCGGGGGAGTTGCTATCAAAGCTGAATGCTAAAGACTTGTGCCTGGCTATGAGCATATAGTGCTGAAATCAAATTTAACGCTAGAGTTATGTTGTATTGTTAAAATACAAATATTACAATGATGATAATACAGTATAAGGGAGGAATCAACTATGAAACTTTATAAAAATGCTAAACAAAAGGTTTGACTTTTATGATTAACAAATGTTTACCGCAGAATAGAGAGATAAACATTTCCCGGATATATCCCTGCTTTCTATTCGCTCGTTATATAGAAAATGACATTCAACTCTCTCCCTTCTATATTGGAAATTGTCAAGGTTAACCATCAAAGGTTAACGAAAAACAAACAACCATAAATCCATCCGGGACAGTACAATTCGTTTCTTATTTAATATTTGATTATTAAAAGACAAGATGTAGTAGGGATACAAAATAGAAATCATATGAAATGTGTATTTTTGTCCCCATAAAAATTCAAAAAAACACCCTGCACACTCTTTTAAGTGCCAATAAGAACTGAATAAATATGTTGGATATATTTGAAATGTTTGATATCTTTTTACATTTTTATAATATATATTGATATGTATGATATAGATATTTTGTTAGCTTCCTCTTTGCTTCTCTGATGTACTACACAAACAGTTTTAAATGACATGTCAGCATGATCACTTTCGTGCATATTCCCTAACCTTTCTCCGTCCCTCTTCCTTTGCTCTTCCTCTTCATGTGCCACAGGAGAGCAGTGCCCCGAGGGCCAACTGCAATAAGATGATAATGATGTTTACAGATGGCGGTGAGGATCGTGCTCAGGACATCTTTGAGAAGTACAACTGGCCCAACAAAACAGTGAGTCTCCCCCAAAAGGCTGTTATCTCCTCGTCTCCATCGCTCTGCCAGCCCGAGAGATCATGCATGTCCAAAAGACTGTCTTAGGAGGCCCGTTCTCCCTCCCTTTCTCCCACCATATTCTGCTGACGTTGTCTCATTATAGCAGAGGCAGTTGTGTTGGTTAGCCTGTCCAACGTGCCAAGCAGTCCAATCTGTGCACACAACATCCTCTCCAAGCTTTATTCTTGTCCATTTGATTCTGTTTTTTCATCTCGTTGGCCTTTCTTCTACTCTCTCCTTCTGTCTGTTTCTCTTTCTTTCTCTCCTCTCATGTCTTTTGTCGTTTTTGCTGCTTGTGTTAACAGCTCTGACCTGCTGACTAATTAGCCACTTTATCATCGGAGAGTATATAAATTACAGCCAATAGATACTAGCTTTCATCTTTCTTCCAGTCTGTCTTTCACGCCACCCGCTCCTCTCCCCACTTCACAGCCCCACAAATATTTATTCTTACATCCATTACTATCCAGTTCCCTCATGACGGTTGCTGTCACAAAGAAAATAATCTGCAGTTTGACGTCTCTTTCACTGCAGTCTAGAAAGAGAAGCTTGTGTGAGTTGACTGGTAGGCTAATCTAACAACTGAATAGCAGGGAATGCATTTTAATTGTCACATGACAGTGACCTTATTGCCATCCATGAGGAGGTTTGAGTGGTATTGTTTTGCTCTATTAACTGTCTATGACTCTCCATTTGTCTTTTCTTCATCCAGGTACGTGTGTTCACCTTCTCTGTTGGCCAGCATAATTACGATGTAACCCCTTTGCAGTGGATAGCTTGTGCCAATAAAGGTATGTGCCGAAGAGCTGTTTATGAAAGCATGTTTGTATGTTATAAAATAGGAAATCATGTTGCTAGATGGTTGGTTGTTCCTTTCCACATTGCTTCTGATAGCAACTTTATATACAGTATAGTGGCGTGTGGCCCAGTGGATAGAGCCTTGGTGGTGGGATCAGGGGGTCACAGGTTCAAACCCCACTACAGTCAGCATGTCGTTGTGTCCCTGAGACACTTCGCCCCAAATTGCTCCTGTGGGGATTGTCGACAGTATTGAGTATGTAAGTCACTTTGGATAAAAGCGTCTAACAAGTAACGTGTAATGTAATAGACACATTTTTTCATCAATTTGATTCTTCTGAGCAATACTGTAAACAGGGTCAGGACTTCCTAACAATAACTTCCTTATGCACTTTGCAGCCTATATGCCTCAAACTTTAAAGCTCCACTAAAACAGCGTAAACACGCCTTTAATGTTTTGAATTCAATACTATATAAAATTACATTACATTACATGTCACTTGTTAGACGCTTTATCCAAAGCGACTTCCATACTCAATACTGTGGGCAATCCCCACAGGAGCAATTTGGGGTGAAGTGTCTTGCCTAGGGACACAACGACATGCTGACTGCAGTGGGGTTTGAACCTGTGCTCCCCTGATCCCAACACCAACGCACAAACCACTGCACCACACGCCTCTGCTATTACACTGACTCCTATGGAAAATGTGTAAACTGACTGTTGACAAATCATCATAATGCGACATTGTATACAAACTATTAGTGTTGAATTCAGCAGAAGGAAAGCTAGTTAACGTTAGCGGTTAGCAGCCAGTGTACTGAAGTTGTGTTGACTTGAATTATGATGCACTCAATCTCTATTCAGCAAAATAACTATTGGGCAAAGGTTAACGAACGATATGTTGTGTTAATATCTTGTCAAATCTTTTGGGGAAAAAACTGAAATACAGTTGAAGGAGATAATTCCATAGTAACATAAAAAAGATAGAGAAGGAATTATGCCATGTTTCACTTCCTGACAAAAACAGTTTGCAAGGAGTGTATGTTGATAAACATAGGATTAGTTGGATTGATTGATTTTGTTCTTTATTGTGGTTTTGAATTTGTATCGAGAATCATGGAAATGTACTGGTACTGCTATCAACCACTTATTTTCTGGTATCTTTACTTCCATACCTCCCTAAAACATTTACATCTTGCAACCAGAGAAGAGGAACACAACACACTGCTTTTTCACTCAGAGGAAAGTTATCCTTTTTCAGTTCTTCTTCTTCTTCTTCTTCTTCTTCTTCTTCTTCTTCTTCTTCTTCTTCTTCTTCTTCTTCTTCGTATGCTGTTAAAAATGAAAAGTAATACGATAAAATATTAAAACCTACCTGACCCATTCCAAACCCATCCTCATTTATCTAGGTGTGTTTGTTTTACTGCATGTGATGTTCAAATCAATATTTTATTAAACTAAAGCAGCCACAGTCCCTAGAATAACCCAGAAACAGGCAGCTCTGCCTCTGACAAACAGTCGGACAACTCGTGTGATTCAGCCGCTCTTCCTGTAAGCTGCTTTGTTCTGCATGAATCTCATCTTGACTCATTCAATTCCAACCTAACTCAGACTGATGTTGCTCAGTTCGGTACACAGTTATTTTTCATAATCCATAACACACTTCTCTCCCTCTTTATTGTGGCTTGATTTAATATTGTTTCTCTGTGTTGCAATTTGTCTGAAGCTGCTCCTTTATGAAGTTTAGCTGTGTATAGGCAGCCTTTACCAATGGCTGCTGCTGATTAGCTTATTTCCGCAGAGCCAAGTGCTTCAGAAGTATCTTCCCAGAAGTTGTTATTAATTAGCGGGAGGAGTCTGGTAGCAGGGTGATTACTGTGCCATCTCACTGTCAGGCTGGGGAAAGTCCAGGATTACGCCTCTGTGCCAACATGGTCTCTGCTGTTCACCACTGTAGTGATTACCATGGTAGTGAAGTCCATGCCAACATAAGACAATAGTGTTGACACGTCAGCCTCAACGGAGCTGTCCTCTCATATCTTCACTACTTATTGCTCTTTGGTATCTAACTCCAACAGTGCCAGCTCCCTGACACTTTCACAGGCCCAAACCCTTCACCCGGCACATACACACATTCGACAAACAGCACACACACACACACACACACACACACACACACACACACACACACACACACACACACACACACACACACACACACCTGTTCAGATATACAGTTAAGACATCAAAACACACTCATTGTCAAGCACCGAACCTGGGGGGACAGAGCCCAGTGCCCCCTCCCTCAGGAACTCACTCCCACAACCCACCAGAGACTGCACCGACCGCACCACCTTCAAAACACTCACAAAAACTCACCAACTCTTAATACTTTTAAATCCAGACTAAAAACGTATCTTTTTGTCGCTGCATTTCAGTGAGCTGTTTACATCCACACTGCAGTCTGGCTTTTATTCGTATATTCTATACCTGTTGTGTTTATTTTATTATCTTTGCATTTTAATGCCTGTTTTGAAATGCCATTTTATAATATGTTTTGCTGTATTTATTCTTAAATGCCTTTTATTTGTATTTGTAAAGCACTTTGAATTTCCGTGTGCTGAAAGGTGCTATATAAATAAACCTGCCTCACCTCTTCAATCTGGCTTTTAATGTGTGATTGTTTTTGTATTGCTTGATTTTAACGTGATTTTAACTATATTTATTTGTTGTTCTTTTTCCCAGTAAAAGTGCTTCCAAAATAAATCTGTTATTAATCTATTACATTGTTCATGACAAGACAAGATAAGACTTTATTTATCCCGAAGGAAATCGTTGTGCCAGAGTCAGATAAATACAATAAACACAACAGCATAATAGTAAAACTGTACACTAAAAATAAAAATAAAATATCTACAGGAAACAACTGGTGTGTTTGCATGCTTTCTACTCCACATTACAGTACTGGACTTTACACCACATGAGGCTACGTGAGGCTCTTGTGTAGAGCGAGACTGACCCCTGCTGGACATCTGAGGGCGGAGAGTACTCAGATCTTGTACTTAAGTATAAGTACAAGTACCAGAGTGTAGGTAGTAAAGTAAAAGTCATACAATCAAAAATAATTAGCATCAAAATGTACTTAAAGTACCATAAGTAAAAGTACTCATTCTGCAGATCGGTCCATTTCAGAATAATATATATCATTATTGATCATTAAAGTGTATCAAAGCTGCTAAAGGTGCAGCTAGTTTGAATGACTTTGAATTCACTCCAGGTGGAACTAAAGTCTGATTTAAGTGGTGATTATATTTCATATCAGTAATCCAAATGTGCAAAGTAACTAAAGGTATTAAATACATTTTGTGGAGTAACAGTACACCATTTAACTCTGATTTGTAATGGGGTAGAAGTACAAAGTAGCAATACAGATAAATACTCAAGTAATGATGATATACTAGTCCCTTGAATGTGTTCTTCAGTACAGTACTTGAGTACATCTACTCAGTTACCCCCCTGGTTTACCTTGGCAAAGAAGTAGGAGGTGACGGAGTACATGCCGTCCTCCAGCTCGTGGTACAGCATGGCCCTCTCTGAGTGACCTGCAGGGAACAGGAAGTGAGTCGGAGGAGGAGCACGCTATGACCTCTGGCTGAAGGCTTCCTTAGAGACAGTAGAAAACAATGCTCTCACACCCTGACCTGGAACAAGCTATTCAAGTACTTCTTTTCTCTAGACTTGACTCTCCTAACTCCACTTCCTAATAGCATCAACCAAAAGTCTCTCCCCCCACCTTCAATAGTTCACAAAGCAGCAGCTAGACCATTTTCTGCTTCTCATCCCGATCCTAGCTTCTCCCCAATGGCTACCCGTTAAATGTATTATAGATTCTTACATTGACTTAAGCTACACAGACACACCATTTGCACTACCTACTTTAACAATGCATAGTGCACTTTTATATCTAGCTATTTAAATATCTTTTAAACTGCTGCTACTTTTGTGCCCTTTTATGCTGCTGTTGCCGTGTGCCAAACTTATTTGTTTTTTTCTAAGTATTTATTTATTTTTAAATTCTGTATTCCTGTATTTTACTTGCGTAGGGTGGACTAGCAAAGTAAGATGTTCATTGTACGGTGTAACTGTCTGTTTACTGTTCATATGACAATAAATATCTTGAATCTTGAATTTGATCAACATACAGCCGTCTGGCCCCAACCTCTTACTGACCCTTCATATAAAAGATGTTTTCTATAGACTTGCTTTAGAGTTAGAGAGGCTCTCCAGCTACATGAATGTCATATTTGTATTAGGATATAGTGTGGGTTAAAAGGTTTTCTATATTTATTAGGTCTCTGTATGATAAGTGGGCAGTATAACACTATTTATAGCTTTCGATGTCACTTGACAACCTTGACCTAACTTGAACTCATTTTTGATTGGCTGTTGGCTCTGTAGCCGTTGTGATTAATCATAATATAACTGAGGAACACGGTGTCAATCTGATGTGTCAAACAGACACCATATTTTTCTCTATCTTCAACAAATCTTGAAAACTTGTATTCCTCTGCCAACTTATCTTCAATGCCTCACCTTGAAACTTAAAACTCTGGACGGTGTTTCTTTTACAGTTCCAGTTCCTCCGTTGACTTGAAGTACTTTGTTCAATTATGTTCCAAGAATGCAGATGCAGCGATCACAACTCAACACTTAACTTAATATGGAAACATGTATTTTTGTTTTGTGTGCTATTTGTTTGTAGACATTCAAATATATGACATTTGCTATTCAAACACTGTTTTGATGTTTGTTTCACCTATTCTTAAAAACCTGACTAATTTGCAGACTGATTTTTTAAATACTCACATTTGGCGATGACGTCCAGCACCACAGCGAATGGGGTGAGCGCTCCGATCATGTAGAGCAGGGCCACCGTGTCCTGGATGGAGAGACGCTCCTCTCCCGCCCCGTAGTACAGACACCCGACCAGCAGGGACATGAGCAGCGCCTCGAAGCCGTGGACCAATACGGTGACCAGGTCTCTGTAGTCATTGTACATGTGACGCCTGAGGGGGGGGACACGAGAGGAGGGCAGTGAACACAAAACATTGATTAGAACGTGTTGTGAGGGACATCTTTGGAATATATATTGTTGCAATAAACAGCCGAGTGCACAGTTCACCTGCTGAGTCAGAGAAGATTTCTTTAAATATCACACAACTCATTGCAGTATAAAATATAATCCAAGTCTTCCAATTGTATAACCACTGCTCCCCAAACACACGTCTTATGCTAAAACATTACTTTTCAAAACACTGTGCAAGCGTTTATGTCGAAGTGGTTATGATGTACGAGATGTGTGAGAGAGACAGATGTTTTGATATACTTTTTATTTGTTTAAAGCTGCCCCCATTCTCTTTAATTCATCTCTGTTAACTGCGGAGGAAAGCAAGAAACCTTTAAAATGTCAAGTTAAGACTTGATGAGTAATCGATACACACAAGTTCAGTTTGTCTGAAGAGTATTCCTTTAAAATCTGTACAAATGAACACACTTGTAACATGTCAGGGGGTGTCAGGATTGTGGAGGTAAGACAGACTAACACATCTGTGAGAGTTGGTCTGACCTGATGAGGATGGTAAATTGGTGAAGCCGGCCAGGCAGTCTTTTCTTTTGTTTAGCGATGGTGATAACTTCCTCTCCGTTTTCTTTGCTCAGCTGCTGAGGGCTGCAGACAGGACAAGATACATTCAGTGGAAACAAGAGAAAGGATGGGGAATAGGGGAGAGTGGGGTAAGTTGAGCCATTTTTTTGTTATGCTGTCCTCTAAGCAAGGAGAAATGACACATAGTAAAAATGAAAACACACACCTATAATGCAGGATGTCTCCTATCAATGGCAATGATAAGAATTCATATTTGATCAACGGCAGTGAAAATATTACTTCTAAAAAAAAGTGGTCTTGTGGCTCAACTTGCCCCAGTGTGTCAATATATATATACAGTCTATGATGAAAATTCAGTCATCTTTAGCTTAATGATTCACATGGTTTAATAAGCTGCCAACACATCAACATATACAATATATGTGTTTAAACCTGGATAATTTTTTTTTGACATGACAGCCGATATAGCTGACATCTAGAAAATGTACTTTGACAAGCAAAAAACGTTTTTTTGTAAAATGTTTTACTTATCAGACCACAATGAGTATCTCTCTTTCCCAGGCAATGAGAAATGGGTGGAGCTTGCATAATTTCTGGTCACGTGTTTACAACTATAAGGCGTTGCCTGGTTCAATTTACCCACTGGCTTAACTTACCCCCTTCTCCCCTATACGTGAAAGTATGATTAAAAAAAAGTTTAAAAGAAAGATGGCAAACGTAAATAAACCTTTTAGTTTGTGTGGGTGTTGTGTTGGCGCCCTCTGATTTCCACATGTGATCCTCGGTGTCTCGGACCTTATCCATGAAACGCTCCGCCAGAACCGTGGAGCGCTCCAAACCCTCGGCCTCTCGCTCGGGGCTGCGCCGGTCGATACTGATCAGATCAACTGGAGATAACGAGCACAACAACATTAGACTTGTAAAAAGAACATGGTTTTGGGCATCAGTGTTTCATGTGTTTGAGCAAAAGTTGTCTAAGCTGGCACTGAGTGTGGGCCAAATTACAACTTAAAGGTCCCCTATCATACTGTTTTTCATCAACATATTACAGGTCTCAGATATATCCAGAGCCTGTCTCTGATTGGCTGAAACACCAAACAGATCATTACAGCATCCCATAATCCCCTCTGTTTCAGCCCTGTTTCAAAAGTGCTGATTCTCTGTCTGTNGGGGGGGTTACCTTGGTTGGTGATTGGCTAATGGTTACACAACCCAAAAAATCGTTATGACATCATAAAGTGGCCAAAATCAGGTTTTTATATAAATGGATCAGGACAAAAAGTGAGCGAATATTTTTTCCTGACACTTTGAGAAATCTCTTTACACATGAGGGGACACATGGTTATGTATAACAGACGTGCAAAAAGTGGATTCTGCATAATAGGTGACCTTTAAGAGATAGTTTGGTGATCTAAAGAAGCATTATGCTGTATTAATAGCTTCCTCCACACACACACACTGACCATAGAAGTCAGAGGGGTTGCAGTATCGTGGGCAGGGGTATCCCAGGGCAGTGAAGTACGGCACCATGTCCCGGGCAGCGCCACAGTAAACAGCTGATCCCGACGACAGCAGCACCACCAGGTCGAACAGCTGGAAGATGTCGGAGCGCGGCTGGTGGACGGACAGCAGCACCAGGCGGTTCCCCCGGGCCAGGCGGGACAGGGTGAGAACCAGGTTGTGGGCCGTGAAGCTGTCCAGACCTGAGGTGGGCTCGTCCAGGATCAGAATACCTACATATAAAAACACTAGTTCAATAATCCATCAAATGACATACATCTTTGTCAACAATTGGCCTCGTTTATCAGGTCTGAAGAGATATTATTAATAGATAGATAGATAGGTACTTTTATTGAATGTTTGCGTTGCAGCAGCATAAAAAACACAAGGCAATGTACACAAGAGAAACTAAGACACAGACATAAACAGTCCAATATATTTCAGAAATAGAAATAAAATAGTAAATAATAAAATATAATTGTCTTTCCTAAAGGAGAACCAGGTTGAGGTGTATACGATTGAGCCGACATAAGGACCAAGATTTAGTGTTTACAATTACAAATACATTACAAGCAAAATCATAATAACATACAGAAAATAGTTCATTGCAAAAGTTAAAGAAATCAAGAGTTTTTCTGTTTGTTCTCTCACCGGGGTTCCAGAGAAGTTGAACAGCTATACTGACTCTCCTCCTCTCCCCTCCAGAGACCCCCCTCACATAGTCGTTTCCCACCCTGGTGTGAGCGCACTGTCGCAGCCGCAGCTCTGCGATGACATCATCCACCTGAGTCAGTGTAATGTATGGTTTAGTATTACAGCAAAAATATATTTGAAGAAAAAATGATTGGCAGCTATTCCAAACATCTGTATCATTATCTTTCCTCATGGTCGGTTATGATCTTTTAAAAGAAAATAAGAAATCAGTACTTAAGACTCCAAATTGTGCAAAATGGGGAGAATAAGTAAGTGGGGGCAAAAGAGTCACATTCATTCACAAATGTATTTATTATTATCCTCTTACTATGTACATCGACTGAAGCCTTACTGGAATGGAATTGTTATGATTTCACTTTACATTTTTAGGTCAGTTTTTATTATAATTCTTACCCATTGGTTTGCATTGAGCTTTGTTGACATTGAGAACAGCGCACAGTGAAGTGTGTCATTGTTTTTAAGTTTAATACTTTTTCTTAATCCTTATTTTAGTGTGGTAGGTTACTCCAAATGTTATCAACCTTATAGTGAATTTCTCTGGTGACTTTGAGGTGCTGACAAGTGCTAAGCTAACTTGTGTATATGTGTGTATCTGGGTAAACCTCACCCTCTGGTCCCTCTGAGCCTGGCTGAAGTGGGTGGGGAGCCTCAGTTTGGCAACGAAGGCGAGAGTTTCGCGGACGGTGAGGTGAGGAAGAAGGCGGTCATCCTGCCGAACGTGAGCGATGCTCTTCTTCACCAGCTGGGGAGTGTTGGGCTTCCCGTTAATCAGAACCTGACCGGACGTCATTTTCCCGCCCTCATCACGACACGTTATGATGTCCAGCAGGGAGGTTTTACCACAACCTGGGAGAAGAACAGTACAAAGCTCAAATGAGGCAAAAACAAGTCAAATTGTGAAAAAAGTACACATTATTTTTAGATGTATTTATGAGTCTGTAGACGTAGCTGAGCTTTTTCTTTATTTCTTTATACTTCATGCCTCTAGAGTCTAAAAGAACGTAGAGAGTATTTGTTGTTTCCTGTAGTTCACTGCAGATCAATGATCGTTATCCAAGAAGGCCATTGCATCTTAAGTACTTAAAAGCCAAGTCTGTGTGTGTGTGTGATTGTGTGTGTGTGTGTGTGTGTGTGTGTGTGTGTGTGTGTGTGTGTGTATATTTGTCACCTGAGCTGCCAATGATGGCTAACATCTGCCCGCTGCGGACCCTCAGGCTCAGCTTGTTTATGGCTGTCTGCTTGTCTCCTTTCATCTCCCACGGCAACTTGAACTCTGATAGCCTCTCGTACCAGGGAATCTGAGCTGCCGTGTCCACCTGCCACACACACACACACACACACACACACACACACACACACACACACACACACACACACACACACAAATGCACCTGTGAGCACATACAACAGGCACATATACAGCACAGACATACACCAGCTAAAAGCTAAAGAAAGTTGTGTGTGAGAGCAGAGCGGTTGCCCTCGGTTACCTCATAGTGCAGGTTGTTGACCTCCAGCTCATTGCACCCCCCGCTGTAGGTGAAGTAGAGGCTGCTGTCCTCATCAGACGAGAATAACTCTTTGTCTTGATGCTGTGGAAAAAATAAATAAGCAGCTCATAGAGTTTCATGGACGCAATGACTCAATTCACATTTTATAAGTGTATCCATATCAGTGCAGAAGGACAAACTGCAATATCATGGAAATGAAGATCATTAAAGCCATACATGTCTTTGCCAAATGATTGAATACTTATTAATGAAAGTTTCTTCCTTACATGCTTACAATTACACAACTGAGAACATGGACTGCACATCTTAAATGTCACTTTATCAACGATTTGCATGAGCAAGTGTGTGTGTGTGTGTGTGTGTGTGTGTGTGTGTGTGTGTGTGTGTGTGTGTGTGTGTGAGAGTGTGCGTGAGTGTGTGTGTGTGTGTGTGTGTGTGTGTGTGTGTGTGTGTGTGTGTGTGTGTGTGTGTGTGTGTGTGTGTGTGTGTGTGTGCGTATGTG